GAGAAAATATTTTCAAATGGCATATCTGATTAAGGTGTTGTATCCAGGAGAGGGTCTATAGACCTTTGTGTCAAGAACAGTTCTCAGCAACTGTCTCCCCATGCCTCTGGGCCTAGAGAAGTCCAGGTGCCCGCTGAGGCAAGCTAGAGGCAGAGTGAATTCTAGAACCTAGGTTTCCTGACTCCCAGTTTAGTCCTCCTTTCTGCATAACAGTACACCAGTATCATCGCCAAATCCAAGGCCAAAGCTGCAGGTGAAGATATAGATCCTGATACTTAGAGTAACTGGATTTTAAGACCTACAATCGACTAAACCTAGAATTGCTACCTCTAAGGATTCTCTATAGAGCATCATTGTCCAATGGACTTTTATCTGAAGGTGGGAATATTCTATATCTATATTGTCCATAGGCTAGCCACTAGCCACATGTGACTATGGAGCACTTGAAATGTGGCTGATGTGACTGAGGAACTGAATTTTCAATTCTATTTAATTTTAATGTGGCTACTGTATTAGATAATGTAGCTGTAGTTTTCTGAACTTTAGTCATTCACACTTATAATTATCTATTCACTAAGTATGATTACTTATTCACTTTAATGATCTTTGCAACATCTGTGTGTTACTAATACCAATACAATTCTTTCCTTACTATTGCTCTTTTCATCAACTCAGTTTTAAAGCTCAAATATGTTTAAAAAGATGATTTTATATATGAAAAGGGACTCAACATCATTGTTACCAAGGAAATGCAAATTAAACCAAAATGAGATACCACTGCATACACACCACAGAGACTGAAATGAAAAGGACTGACAATATTGGGTGTTGGGGAAGACGTGGTGCACCCAGAATTTTCATACACTGGTGGTGGAAGGGTGAATTGTTTACAACCATTTTGGGAAAAGGACAAAGGAATTCAACTCCTGGAAATATATCCAAGAGGAATGAACATACATATTCATTAAAAGATATCCACTAGAATATTCAAGGTAGCTTCATTCATAAGTCATAAATTGGAAGCAACTCAAATTCCATTAGAAATAGAATGGATAAATTGTGGTGTATTTAGGCAATGGACTATTACATAGCAACGAAAAGGAAAGGACCATGGCTACATGCAACATCATAAACCAATCTCAGACATAATGTTGGGTGAAAGAGCCCAGATGTAAAAGAGTATACATACTGTATGAGTCCATGTATATGAAATTCAAAAATGGGCAAAATTTTCCTATGGCAATAGAGCTCAGAATATTGATGATATTTGGAGGAGGATATTGACTTTGAGTGAACTTTCAAGTGCTGAAAGTGTTCAATATCTTGATCTGGGTGGTAGTTACATGATGGCTACATATGTAACATGGGTACTGTATATACCACCAGGAGTTATTGAATCAGTTCTGACTTACAGCAAATCTGTGGGTGTCAGAGTAGAACTGTGCTCCATAGGGTCTTCAATGGCTGATTTTTTTGGACCAGATCCCCAGGCCTTTCTTCTGAGGCACCTCTGGGTGAACTCGAACCATCAACCTTTTTTGGTTAGCAGCCAAGTACATTAACCACCCAGGGACTCCATACTATGCATACATAGGTAGAAATTCACCAAGCTGTTCCCTTTACTGTCTGTAAATATACCTTACTGAAAAAAAAAAAAAGGAACAATGGCTAAAAAAAAAAGGATGGGGTGGGAGAATTTATATCAGTATCTTAAATAAACAAAGAGCATTTTCAACACACATTAATATATATATAATTCTAAAAATAATATATTCACCTATGTGCCACCTAAGATTATTCTGGGCACACCAAAAACTGAAGTACCACACTCAGATTAAGGCACTCCATGGCTTTTATGTGGGCTGGTGTTAGGATGCTGGCAACCAAGGAAGAACTGGGGTCAAGTGGTGAATGCATTATCTAAGGCTTATGCCTCCGCACCAATCCCAGCTGGGGTTATGGAACGAGACCTTGTTTCAAGGCCACACCAGAAAACTGGAGGGAAGGGGTGAGAACTGGTAAAGAGGGCAAAGAAAAAGGGCCAAGGGCAGGTTTCCTCAGTTCTGGCCCACAGCCCACTTCCTCGACTCCTGACCTCACAAGAAACACAATGCATGTAAAACAAGCCAATCAGTTTCCAAGTGGGAAGAGTGCCAGCCATGATTTTTGCTGCCCAAGGAATGAAAAATCAATAATAATCATTCTTATGATTCATGTTCATCCTGTTTTATTTCAAACCACTTTACCGAAAGGCCTCTTGGCCCAGCCAAGAAGTCGAGGGCCAGGAGCCAGGACACCTGGACTCCAGATCTGTGTGTGATGTATTTGGAACTCTCTTGGAGTCTAAATTTCTCCCAATGAAATCATAGCAAGTGACATCTGTGGCACATTTTACAGAGTTTTAGCAGAGTAAATAGGATTGCTAGTCTAATTTTGCAGACAAGGAAACTGAGATTATTAAAAGGGTGGTGAAGCTGGGACTTTTGACTCCAAACCCTTGGCACTTTCCCAGTTTAAACAGAAACCAGTCCCCAAGCCCCACTCTTAGCACAGTGTGAGTTTCCTTGATCCTACACAAAATACCCTATGTATGTTCCAGGGGCAGATCTGGGTTTGTGGAGTCTGAAGTTCATACAATTTGAGGGAGGGCTCTTTAACAAAAATACCAAATGATGAATACAAAATCAAGAACAGGGCCTTAGGCCTGGCTCTGCAAGGGAGAGGCCTTGAAGTTTAAATTTTATTAGCATGGTGTCTCAGTAAGTATTTGGATGCTAATCAAAAGGCTGGGAACTCAAATACACCCAGCGACTCCGCCGGAGACAAGACCTGGCGACCTACTTTCCTAAAAAGTACAACCAAGAAAACCCTATGGAGGAGTTCCACTCTGTCACATGGGGTCGCTCTGAGTCGAATCTACTCCATGGCACTTAAGAACAAAGCGCCTCTCCCACACGCCCTGCCCACTAAACAATCCGGACACACCAGATCCTGACAGGGATTTTCCTCTGTGAAACGTGGCAGATGTGGATGTCGAAGTCCTGGGAAAAGGATCTCATTTCTCCCAGGAGACAGGAGGAATTACAGCAGCCTTAAGGCCGTGTGTGAGGATGGAGTAGACTGTGTGCCAGGGGAGAATCCAAAGGGGCTGGTGACCCAGCTGGCCGAGATATGGCAGTAGCAGTGATGGAGCAGGAGCCGGCAGCCTGGGAGCCAGAAGCAGTGGCGCTGCCCCTGGAGCGACAGCCCAACCCCTAGGCTGGTCTGCGGGAAGCAGACGTCCTTCAGACGGTCTCCTGGCTCCCTGCGTCATGATAACCCTTCCTCGCAGGAGGGGAGGCCGAAACTGACAACCACAGCCGACGGCAGTGGGGAGTGGATGGTGGTCCTCGCCCAAGCCTTTGCATCCCCTGCCCGCAGGATGGTGGAGTGCGGGCGGCCTAAGCAAGGGTGCCCCGTTGCGGCTCCGGCGGCGAGACCAGGGCGCCGGGCTCCCCTCGCGCCTCACCGCCGCCGGGGGGCAGCGCCCGCGGCCTACTTTCCCAGGGCTGGCCGAGCCTTTTTGACAAGCTGATTGCGTGGCGGGGATTGGCTGGTCCCGGCATGACGCCGGTAACAACAAAGGTGGAGTTGGAAGAAATTAGATTAAAGGAGAGGAAAAAAAAAAAAAAAAAAATTAAAGGGGGAGCTGGCAGGGGACAGGAGGCTTAGACCGAGGGGGAGAAGCGCAAAGCGCGGTCTTCCTGCGCCGACTTCCCCCCGGAAGCCCCTCGGCGCCTGCCGGGTCAGATTTGGCCCTCCATTCTTACCCTGGCCCAGCGATCGAAGCCGGGGTGGGAGGGGTGGCTACTACTGCTCGAAAAACACCCCCACTCCCACCCTGACACCCCTCGCTACGACCCAGGGGGAGAACTTCTTGCTCGGATTCCTCGGATTCTAACCCGGCGGAGGTGGTGTGTGTGTGGGGGGAGGAGAATGAAAACAACGAGAGACTAGCTTTAAAACCCGGAAGGCCCTCGCGGGGCATGGAGATCGGACGAGGCGGGGTGTTCCCCGGTTTTTCGATATGTTGCAAATCTAAGAAGAGCGTTCTTTCTTTTCTTTTTTTGTAACAACCCCTCTTCGCTCCCCCCACCCCCTGCTTTGGCTTTTAGGGTTGCAAAAGCAAAAGAGCAATAAAAAAAAAAAAAGCGCACACACTCAGACACACACCAGTGGCGACACGGGAGAGTTGGAAAGACGCAGGAGAGAGGCAGGAGGCAGCGGGGAGGGAGCAATGGGAGCGGGAAGCAGGCAAGTTCCCTCGCAAATCCCCCTCCGGCCCCACGCCGCCTCGCCGGCCCCGGCAGGGGAGAGAGGAGCCGGGCAAGCAGATGGAGGAGTGGAGCTCGCTCTAGGCAAGCGGGCTTGGCCGGAGAATGGAGGAGCCGCCAAGCGACCGGCTGATTGGAAGAGAAACGCAGCGCGATGGAGGCGGGGGTAGGAGGACGATTTCTCTGCGGGGACTGGCGGCGGCGTACACGCCCGGGTCGGGCGCTGCAGAGCTTGGCTAGCTTTCAAACCGCGCTCGCCGGCTCCAGCCCCGCGCGCCCCCACCCCAACCCTCCCGGCAGCTCCGCAGGTGAGTGCGAGCTGGGGGCAGAAAGACCCGGAACAGTCTCCACACGCCTGCCCTGGAAAAAAAAAAAAAGAGAGAAAGGAAAAAAAGCATTTTTCTTTTTCTATTTTCGTGCAGCCCCCAGCGCGGTGGGAGGGAAGGGGTGAGGCTGAGCCGCTCGAGGAGGCGGAGGGGCCAGGCGAGGCCGGGGTGGCCCGAGAGGCGGCGGCGCC